TATGGGGCATTGGTTAGGCTGCAGTTGGAATACTGTGTCCAGTTTTTGGTGCTGCACTTCACCAAAGTGAACAACCTCAATGTGGACAACCTCGAGAGGGTTCAAAGGAGGGCCACTCATATGGTTAGGGGCCTGCAGGCAAAGCCCTATGAGAAGAGTTTGAGGGCCCTGGATCTCTTCAGCCTCTGCATGAGAAGGCTAAGAGGCGATCTTGTGGCCACCTACAAATTCATGGCGGGGAGGGTGGGAGGCAGCAAGGAATAGGAGATGCTCTGTTTACCAGGGCACTCCTTGGAGTAACTACGAACAATGGCCACAAACTGACAGAGAGAAGATTTAAGTTAGACATCAAGAAGAACTTCTATACAGTAAGGGCTACCAGAATCTGGAATGGGCTTCCAAGGGAAGTGATGCTCTCCCCTACCTTGGGGGGCTTTAACAGGAAGCTAAACATGCACCTGGATCTAACCCCTCCCAACCTGGCCAACCCTTCACCCCCAAATCAGCCTGAGATTGACTGAGCTCTGGTCAATTTCCAGACATTGAAGTTAACAGAGAAGTGGTTTGGGGGAAAGTGTTTTTTAAAATCCATGAAAGCACTTGCAGCCCAGCTCCTAGGAACCCAGAAGCAAGGAACTAGTAGGCCCCTGCCGTACACATACACCTGGGCACTCCCAGTCAGTGTACCATCGCACAGATTTCAGTAAGTGCAAGAATGTTGGGTTTTTTATTGAACTCAACACTAGCAAGAAGGTGAAGCAGAAAAATGTAATTGGGCTAGGTATTCACTATCACTCCCTGGCCATGGTTTGACAGCACTGAAATGCTGAAAAGGTAACTATGTGTAGAAACCTCTGACCCAGGACAATTGTGAACCAGTCTTATCAGTGACATTCTTGGAATGGTTCAAGAGTTTTGTCTGTCTGCACCCATAGAGAAGCCCAAACAGAAGTTAGAAAAAGCGTAAGAATGATGTGAAGAATAGTGTCTCTGCAAGAGGCAAATGAGACTAGATAGGCATACCAGAGAATAATGGGCTGTCCCCAAAACTCTAGTACAGGGATTCCCAAAGTTTTGCCCCTGAAGCCATTTCAAAGGAACAATCCTAGATGGTAGGCTGTGTCAGAGGGGTTTAACAGGCCACCTTTGGCCTGCATGCCACACTTTGGGAAACCCTGCTCTAGTGGCTGAAGGGGCATTTTTTGTGTTTTGTACATTTGCTGAATACTAGGTTAATTATTAAGATTATCTTGAAGACCCTATCTTCAGATTATTTCTTTAAAGACTTTAAAGATAGCTGGGACAATTATAATAAGTTTGACAGCTGGTCTCTGACACGATCTTAATTCAGAACCCCTGGGTTTTAAGCGGCTTTTCTTTGGTTTTGTCTTGTTTTGTTTTGGTTTTGGTTTTGCATTTAGTGTTTCACTGCAGTCATTATCATGGTTTCTTAACACTTAGAAACAATAGTGTTAACTGAACATTTCTATGATGCTGTTCCAAAAAAGATATCAGTTTCAAAGTTTCACCAGTCTGGTTTCATACCGTTCCACCTAACACCTGTCAGTTCTAATTTATCCAACACCTGTTAACACACTAGTTGATCAAAAAAATGAAAAGCTTACTCAAATACAAAAATCACACCCATAACCAGACCTAAGAGGGAAAACAGCTGATCATTTAACTGAGCCACAGCATAGCTAGTTTGAAATGAATAGCATATGGCAAGACTAATAAATTATATAGCATCTCAATACTTTGAATGAACTCACACAAATGCTACAATTTTTAAATTTACCAGAGCTACTTATTAGCAAACATAAACCTAAAAAAACCTAAATAATCTAGGCTTAAATTATACTCTTAAAACTATCCATTTCTGATGAGATATTGCAACACTTTAAAACCCTTACAACCTTTCTGGTGAGTACATGTAGGTTTGGTTGATGCCTTCGCTTTAAGATACCTAGAAAATTTATTTTAACTAGAGAAACTATTACTTTATGCAATAAAAGCTAGGTTAACAAACATTACTCAACATATTACAGGTTTACAGCAAGCTAGAATTAGAAAGGAGGTCTCATTAAAGATACCTCTAGGTGTAGTACAAACTGCCCTTTTCTAACCCTTTATAATTTTTCCTGTGTTGAAACCTAGTAGAGTTGCTATCAGCCCAAAGAGGTTTCTCATCATTGCAAAGCAAGTTTTGAGCAAGTTTGTAGAGCTGTTTGACATATACAGGTTAACACACACTTTCCCAACTGTCCAAATGCTGTGTGCGTAGGTAGTTCTCAATAAGGAATAATTTGTATTGTAGCTGAAAAACCGCATTTAAAATTTGCGTTTAGAATGAGGTAGTACATACTTTCCAGACAACTTATTACACTGATTCTCGTAAGCAGATCAGCTGATATAAACCTAAAAATCTGTTCCTCAGTTTCACTTTCCCTCTCACTTGCAGATTTCGAGGCTGTATACCCCATAAGGTACTACATCTATAAAAGCCCACGTAACTGGTAGCTGCTTGTTAAACATGAATTATAATAATACAGAAAACAAAACAACTGATTACCCCCTTTCTCAAACCATCTGCAAAGGTGAGTTTTAGACACCATTTAGATTCTTAGAATCTCCTGATGTGGTTAATACAGGAACTGATCTAGTATAAGCTACTTTTCTTAGAATGCACAATGACTACATCATATATAATCTAAGAAAAGCAAGGACCTTCAGTATCTTTTGGACATTTTGAACAAAAAAAAAAAACCTTGTATTGGCTATATACACTATATGAAATTCAATTAGACTGCATACCTCCCAAAATAGTATCAGGATAGATATTCCTGCATTATACCATACTGTTTTCAAAAGGGTTTGTTTTTTTTAAGTATAAACAATTTACCTTACTTTACCAAATAACTAAATGCTTTACATGTTTACTATTTCCTTCCAGAACCAGAAACAATATTGCCTCAGCTCTTCTTTATTCTTTTATCTGTTGACCATATAATTTATTTTCTAGTAATTGTGTTACTTTTTTAATAAAGGTTAACACAAGTAAATGTTATGTGAGAAAAAAAAAACTTTGTTCAGTAGGAATAGACAGCCTATCAAACTCTAAAAAAGCTGTATTTATATCAGCTGATAGATTTAGGCTTGGATGCAGTGCTCCAGAATGTCTGTCAGCTTCCAATAAATCAGCTAGCACAGGGATGCCCAGCCTATTAACATTCAGCCTCTGTGTGCGGCACAGAACAGACTTGCGGAGGGATCAGAAAATAAAGCAACTGAGTGGGCAGGAAACAGAGTAGGAAGAAGAAACCAAATCAACAGTTCAGGCAGCCAGCAGAAAGAGCAACAGCTGATTGGGCAAAGAAAGGAGATCAGAGTGGCATTTGGGGAGGATGCAGGACTAATTTGTGACCTACCTGTCAAAAAGGTGGACCCCCCACTGAGCTAGAGTGTTTTTGTTACCAATGCTTTATAAAAGATTTCAAGAGTTAAATTGTTTGAATACCTCTAAGCTCAATTAGCTGGAGCATTCAAACCAGCTTGACAAAGTAAATATTTCCTATGTCTGATTTGCATTTCACCCTAAACATACAAAAAAGGCAGTCCAGTAAATCATTTCTTTCACTATATTAATCCCTATTTCTACAACAGAACAAAGACAAATTAAATCTTTCTATTCAAATGTCAGGAAAAATATTAGCATAGCACAGAACTGAAAGTACATCTATATTTGTACTTCAGGTATGGAGGGTGTACTTCAGAGTGTAACACAAGTTAGGTTCAGTGTTAATTCAGTGTTAACAGTTTTCTTCATAATTTTCTTCAGTTAAACATAAGATAACAGTTAAGGTCTGCCTTTTCTTCTGCTCAATTTCACTGATTTGTATTCAACAGGTTATCATGAAACAAAGAGCTTCACTTGACTTAAATTAAATTACAGAGCCATATCCTGAGCCAGAACATCTAAATCAGTGGTTCTTAAACTTTCTAGACTCAAGGTAGACCTGAAAAAATGCCAGATCTTAGTTTTCACTCATTTTTAACTATGGAAAAATAAAAGAGAAATTATTCTGTTGCAAATAACTTAGACCACAAAAGGGCAGGCTGTTTCTCACACTACAAATTCCTATTTGCAATCTCTGGGTTCACCTTGTCAATCATGTGTAGGCATTTGCATACCTAATGGAGCTAATATTGTGTCGCATCCTGCATCACCCTTAGAAGGATCTCATGGCACCCTGGTTGAGACTCAGCACTCTAGATAACAAGAGAGTCAAAAGATGGCACCCTTACTATACCTATTTATTGGACAATTATAGCTACCTAAAATGAATGGGGGATTATGGACTTCTTGCAGACTGTAAATGTGCCTTGGGAACACTTTGGGTAATCAGGTTATAGAATTACAACACTTTGTATCCAAATAATAATCAAGGCAGTCTGTATAAAATAAAGGAACTGCATAAAGCCTTTGAGCAGTGGTTCTCAGGCTTTTTAGATTCAAGGCACTGCTGGATAGAATCAAGGCAACCCTCAAAATGCTAGCTCTTAGAGCTTCCCTGCTTTTTGACTACAGAAAAATAATAAAGAAATTCTTCTGTTGCAAAGAACTCAGACCACAACAGGGCAGAGTTCTGTCCTATTTGAAATCTCTGGGTTTATCATGTGAATCAAGTTTGCATGCCTAACAGAGCTAACATAGCACTAAAAGGGTCTCCAGGCACCCCATGGAGCTGCATCACCCTGGTTGAGAATCACTGATCGAGAGACATGGATATATAACCTTGACAGAAAAATCCAGCTGTGGATTTACAAAAGTTCTGAAGTTTCACTGGCAAACTCATACTTTCCCCTTTAAAAAAGCCATGTATACTTCAGAAATTGATGGAAGTTTAATTCTGAAAATTTATTCTGGTTTCAAAATTTCACATAGTTCATGAAGCTGAATTTTTTTTTTTTCTTTAACTAAAAGCTGTATTTTACTGTACCTTGAAATGCACTGTGATGTTCCAAGGAAGGGCCGTATTTGATGCATGAAGGTCAAATAGCAAACCAATTGGATAATGCCTACACATAAGGAAAGAGCACATTCAATGAAAAAAAGGACTTTCAGAGTTGCATACAACAGTAAACGTACTTCCAGTTCACAATTTCAGAAATTTCCAGTTCTGATTTTAATATTCAGTGTCAACTGTGCCCACAGCATTGTACAAAGAAAGCAACTGACTTGGCTACGTTAGTAGCACAACTAGAACTGGAACTCAAAGAGTTACTAATGCCAAACATGTGTTCAGTCCTCCAGGTCAGCAGGTCCCAAACTATGGTTTTCGATCAAGGTAAGTGTAACACAGCCAGCTGCCAGATCATATCAGACCCTATCACCTTCGTAAGTGTTTTAGATTAAAAATTGGATAAGGGTACCTGGGGCTTACAGTAAGTTCTAAGTCCACCAGTTCAAAAAGTCTGTGAATCAGTGGTCTATAGATATGGGGTGTCAAATACATAGTCTGCAGGCCTAATGCATCTTCTGAAGCTGTGTCATCTGGCCTGCAGGGCTCTTACAGATGGCAGGAATCCAGGGACAAGGCCCACTATGGAATACCAAAGTCTGGAGTTCCATCTGATGCAGATTTTGTCAGCAGCAGGGCTACTAATGGCTGCATTTATCCCCATGACTTCTTTAGCCAACAATGCAGCACGTAAAACAGTCCTGCTACTACTAACCCCACGTCCAGAGCTGTCCCTTGGCGAGGGGGCAAACTGGGGTGACCGCCTCAGTCCCCTCACACCACCACTCTGCGCTCCACCTGCTCACCACCACCCCACCTGCCGCCCTCCACAGGCTCATATGCCCTGGGGCCCACAAAACCCTAGGGTTAGCTCTGCCCACGTCTGAAGGTGGGTCCAGATCCAGCTTGCAAGGAGATCTATGGTCTGTATCTGAGCCAGGAGACTGGGTAAGTTTGACACCCCTGTTCTAAACCACACTGACCCCTGAAAAAACCTCCTTAACCCCACCTGCCTCCTGGCTCACAGCCTGAGCAAATAGTTCGAAACAAACAGCAGAACCAGGGTACTACGTAGGCTGACTATGGCAAGGCCAGTCAACATTTGTTCTACCTATAACCTAAATTACTATCAAACTAAATAGAATGGAAGGAAAGGTATATGGAAATCAGGATTCCAGCTTTATCACCATTACCCTTAACACCAGCATAAGTGTTAGGGAGTCTTAGAAGTAATAGTTACTATATCAAAAGGGAAGGTATCCATCAGTTCTTTGTCAAGTCTACAAGAACATTACATTTAAAACTTTCCTAAATATTGAAGTTACAAAAACTTTTCTATAGACACCCAAAATGATCACCTTGAAAAATTTCACCAAGAAACACACTGATCAAAGTGTTTTTGAAAGACAGAGCTTCTTGAAATTGGAACGCCACACTCAGGTCTTTTATCATGCCTTTAAAAAATTGAGAATTAGTATTTTTAGAGGTATGAAAATTTTGACAAAGTGAAATGTCTAAATACTGCAAAAACTTACACATGTACGTCACACCTAAAGCTCTGCAAGTAGCCCCACTGATTTTACAGATGGAAGATCAGGCATACTTTTTAAAGCTTGCAAAGACTTAAGCACAAGAGTTAAAGAAGGAGATAGCACTGTCTGCAGAGAATCAAGAGTGCTTTAGCACAGAGGTGGCCAGCCTGTGAGACAGGCACCTGACAGATCAGGGAGAGAACAGACAGCACAACAGCACATAGGACAGGAAGAAGAAAGTAAAATAGCATATCCGCCAGGGTACACAGGGAAGGAAGCAGAAGCAGAAAAACCAGAGCAGCAGATAAGGCAGGGGAAAGGGATTACAGTGGCACTTGGGAAGGTTGCAGAGGGAATTTGTGGCATGCCTACCAAAAAAGTTGGTCCCCACTGTTCTAGCAGATCATTTTCCCCCAACAGCTAAATTTTCATACAAGTAATCTAGTGCTTTAGCACCATCTGCTGGCTAATTAGCCCAGAAGCTAGCCAGGAAAGCCTAATAAGTTAAAAAGAAATCTGACAGAGTGATTTTTGAATTAGTATTTCCTCTGAGTTTCGCTGTAAAAAGTTTCTCAATAGTAACAATGAAACTAAAAGGGAAGGCTCCACAATTGTTTTTTTTTCTGGTAGACAAGGAAGAGAATGGATGAAGAGTAAACCAAGAGACTTTAGAAAATGTTGCGCGTTGTTAATGCACAAGATTTTGCTACTAGCAGTTCAGTAGCTTGTCATCATTGCATGTCTCCTATAGGGGAAATCTGCTGATGCACTGAAAGAATTCTCTGACCACTCTGTTCACCACATTTCCTTTGAGAATTAAGCTGCTATTCCATGAACATGTTATAAGACTTTTAAAAGAGCCATTATCACATATACAAAACTCATATTAGATAAATGTCTTGTCATTCTCCATAGTGCATTTTCCCTCTAGTCTCCTGACTTCAGCATATGGAACTCAGCTCACATGCTAAAGAGGAAGAAGTGTTGTTTTGCAACAACTGCTTTTAGCACATGTGGCTGACTACAGTGCTTTAAAAGAACACAATAAAAGTCACCTTGTTTCCTCCGTAGTACTCCCAAGATCAATGCTGCAGACAGAATCTTCACTAGAGAAATGACTTCCTAGAGAGAAGCCCTATTCCTTGTTAAAAATAAAAAGCTATCACTGGGGAATTGCAATCTTCAGAG